ATTAGGGTGTCCGTTATTTACCAAGTTGATTTTTTTTTTGCGGACGCCCCCTGGATTTTTAGTTTTTGACCTAAAAAAAAATATCCTACATAAATAAGCTCTAAATTACCGAATTAAACCTTGCTCTAATCGAGTTACATTTCCCATTTAAATAACATGGGAATTTGCAACTTTTTCTTATTAATTTTATTCCTCTGAAAAAAATACCACTACGACTATTATCGATGCATATTCTGATAGGGAATTGAATGCTCTACAAAAAAGCTCTCTTATAATTTTTCGATAAAATCATTCCTTTGAGAGTTATTCGTGGTTTAAGTTGTGCTTATAGTTAATAGGGTGTTCGTTATTTACGAAATTGATTATTTTTGTTGCGACGCCCCCTAAATTTTAATTTAATCATCTGAAACAAAATATTAGACCATTCTAAATTTTCATAACAACCCTTGCCCCAAGGATGATGCATTTTCCATTTAAATTACATGGGATTTAAAGTTGATCTTAACATAAATTCTTGAATTTTTGCACTTTTACGGCAAAATTATGATCACGATTAATTATGCAAATTAGTCATTTATTATGAAACATATATTGCACGCCTCATAAGCGAAGCGTTGAGGTTGTGCTCTACTCTCGACATTTCGAAAAAAGCAGTTTTCTCGAAACTGAAATTGATTTTTTGTTATTTATATCGCACTTACAGGTTAATATGAGTACACTTATATCAAGTCGAATAATTTGTCAGGCACATAAAATATATTTCAATAACAATTTTTTTGTTTAACATAGTAAATAATAACATTTAACATAATTTTTTCTGGACGTCCGTGAATGGATGAGTGTATGTGGCAGGGAAATTGGTCGAAAAAATGATCGTACCGGAACAATTTTTTTTTTATTATCTAAAGTAACACACGAAGGATTTCCCTAATTAATATGAGCGTTCAATTCACTGTCGTTATATTATTATTCATAAAAAACTAATATAAGTAGTTAAGTAAGGGGGGTTTTGGAGCACATCGTTAAGAGAGTGTTCTGCATTACCGACTCAGGGTAATCGCTCAGATTGTATTTTGTAGTTTCTTCTTTATCGACGGTAGGTTTTCGGGTGGTAACTTTCCGACGTATTGGTTACCGACTGGTCATTATAGAGGTAGTGGTCGGTAACTGGAATTCGTTATTATTATTTGAATGAGCGCCCATATGATCGATGATTTTGTAACAATCTTTAATTGGAATAAACAATTATGTAATTGTTTGAAAAAAGTTTGAATTTGTTTGAAAAAGTTTGAATTTGTTTGAAAAAGTTTGAATTTGTTTGAAAAAGTTTGAATTTGTTTGAAAGTTCTTGAATATTCTCGAATGTTCTCGAATTTTCTTGACAGTTCTCGAATGTTCTCGAATTTTCTTGAACATTATCGATTTCGAGAAAAAAGGAGGGGTTATGCGTATAAATCTCGATGCATTTGAGTGCAGAATCACAGTTTGAAAGAACGATCAAACCCTTCAAAGTTATTTTTTAACTAGTTGCTAAATAGTGTTCAGCTTGAATTTACTTTTGAAGCCGTAAGTTATATTTTTTATTCTATCTTATATAATTTATTCAATCTTATAACCAAACTTTAATTTTATTCATTAATCATTATTTTGATTATTCTTCTATTCAGTATAATGGATCTATCAAAAATCAATGCTATAAGCGTATTACCACCTTTTTTGCCGACAACAAAGCTGAGCGACTTAACCATAGGCAATGAGTATCAAATTACCAATGTCAAAAAAGTGAACACTAAATATGGAGCACGAGTTATCGCTACTGTTGGCAAAGAATTTAATATTTTCTTACCAAAAAGAACTTCAGCAGCAATCATTGAGGATCCGCAGCAATTCGAGCAGCTTACGAATGCGATATCGAACAACAATATATATTTTCTCTATCATGGTGGTCAATATCATGACATTGAAATCATTTTCCGAGCATAACGATAAATAATTTGTAATATCAATTACCATGAAAAAAAGTTTGAAAAATCCAACAATGTGCATTATGCCTTAAGGTAGTTTTAGCATGAAACCACTTTTCGATAAATTCAGCTGAAATTTTTTTAACGGGGTTCAGAATAGCTTTATTTAAAATTTTTTTTAATTTTTTTTATTGTATACACTTGTTAAGCTATTCAATGTATATTATTTATTTTCACATATTACAATAAAAAAAAAATGAAAAAAATATCAAAAGAGTAAATAAAAAATTAAGAAAAATTAAAATTAATTACATTTGTCCCATTATTTATAAATACATTAGTTTGATCTTCATAGTTATACACCATGTTTACATCAGTCTCGTTCATGGAAATATTCTCTTCCACATGTTCATTCATCATGAAAATCGGTACATGATAGTGTTGTTGTTGTTGTTGTTGTTGTTGTTGTTGTTGTTGTTGTTGTTGTTGTTGTTGTTGCTGTTGTTGTTGGTCATACTGCTGATGGTCAAACTGCTGTTGAGGATCGTAAAATTGTTGCTCATAATCTCCATTATTCGGAAAATTAATTTGTTGATGTTGCAACTGATACATTTGAGGTTGTTGTTGGTTTTGATTTTGCAGCAGGAGATCCAAAACCTGTTGTTGCAGTTGAATTTGTTGTTGTTGCTGTTGCAATTGCTGCTGCAGTTGCTGATGATCTTGATATAGATTATCAGCAGGCACAAGATCGAACAACCCCTCTCTGTTGTTTTCCTCAAGCCAAATCATATCTTCGTTATCAATTATCAGTGGTGATTCACATTCTCGTTCTTCACCATCGAGAATATATTGGGGTAAATCTATTGGTGCTGGAGGAAGTACATTCTGAGATGTTGTAGGAGTCGTAAACAGAGATTCATTAGCTGGAGGTGGTGTAGAGGAAGATGGAGGTGGTGGTGCGAGGAAAGATGGAGGTGGTGTAGGGGAAGACGGAGGTGGTGTAGGGAGAGATGGTGTTGTAGGGGAAGACACTTCTAATGTAGATGGTGGTGGGGTTGGAGTGTTAGATAGTAAAGAAGAGTAGGGTGTGTCAGATGTGGAAGGTATTTCAAAGACGTGGAAAAGTGATGGTGATAGAGGGAGAGGAGAATAGAATAAAGGTGGGGATAAGGAAGGCGGAGGCAGAGAAAAATCTACTGGAAAATTTGTGGTGGGAGCTGGTGAATTTTCCGTTGGACGAAGATTTTCAAAGAGAGGACGATCGTGATGTTCCCGAAATTCGCAGTTGAATCGTATTGATTGTCGCAGCTTGACCAATTCTGAGATAGATGATGATGATGCCGATGCTGTTGAAGCCCATGAAACCCTTTCAATTCTCAAATTATTCCAAAATTCCTGAAGTTGACTAAGTGATCTAGCAGGGAATGCTGCACCATTATTCAGACATCCAGCTACTGGTAGATGCGCCGTAAAACATTGTGTAGTTATTGTATCTGCACACATGTATTTGTCATCCATCATGATCTCATCTGGTTTGAGGTCTGGTATTTCATCATTTTCATCCAGGAGGCTGAAAGACCAAGCCTTCTGGGCAACCCTGAGTAGACATGCACGGTTACCATCGATGATATAAACGATGTTCCGAGGATCATCTCCCAGCTCACGAATCTGTGACAGTAATGTCATCAATGACTGCCATAAAGTGACAATCCCAAATTTTTTCGCCCATTTTTGAGGCATGTAAATGTCATCCTTGGAGATCTGCAAAATAAAAAAAAAAAAATGAAGAATTATTTATTACTATTAAATAAATAAACCATATAAAATAAAAACACTATTTGAATGAAAAAGTAATTCAGATTACTTCTGATAGCGAATCAATTATGATATATTAATTTAATTGTACCAAAACCAATACCAAATGATAATGAAAAAATACATTGTGTTAAAAAATTATAATAGGTAGATAAAAAATACAATGAGTTTATAAAACTGAGTTAACTATAACAAATTAAAGAGTAATGGTAAAAATAAGAGATTTGACTAATAGATAAAGATCATAAATAAAGATATAGGTATATGAATATATGTAAAAAATTTTATCAATACTTACATCAAAAGACCAATGCTGGAGATATGCTGATAACTTTTTCGAGGAAGAGCACCGACAAAGGTCAAACATTGAGAAAGACAGTTGCAGACATTCTGAAAGAAGACGCAAAAGTAACCTGCAAAGGACCACAGGAGGTAATTGAGATCCGAGACATCGATGATGACACAACTAAGGACCACATCCAGGGTGCCCTACAGGAGGAAGATGGAGATGGCTGTGAGATATCACTAGAGGCAATCAAGATCCGTAAGGCCTATAGAGGTACTCAAGTTGCCACAGTAGTTCTATCAGCAGCAACAGCACAGAAACTACTGGATGGAAGTAGCAAAATCCGGATTGGTTGGGTTAATCGCCGAATAAGGGCAACGAAGAGACCTATTCAATGCTTTAAATGCTGGCATTTCGGACATCATGGATCCCAGTGCAAAAGCAAGGTGGACCGGTCGAAGCTTTGCAACTGGTGCGGACAAGAAGGGCACAAGATTGCTGATTGTAAAAATCCAGCCAAATGTGCATTATGTGCCGAGATTGAAAGTGCAGAGAATGTTGCCCACCATGCCAGTACCCATAAGTGCTCGTTATTTCAGGATGCACTCCAGAAGTTGACGAACAAACAAGCATGAGGATACTGCAGCTCAATCTCAACCATTGTGAGGCAGCGCATGACCTGCTTATGCAATCCGTGCGAGAACTAGAGCTTGACTTGGTACTGATAGCAGAGCCATATAAACACCTGAGTACCCAACCCTGGGAATCTGACAGCACATCCAAAGCTGTCATCTGGTCATGTGGCAAGCTCCCTTTCCAAAATGCGGTCGACAACAGCAATGCCGGCTTTGTAGCAGTATCAGTAGAGGGCATCCGCTTCTATAGCTGTTACGCACCACCTAGCCTCTCTACTGTCGAATTCACCGCATTTTTGGATCGACTTACCGAGGACGCGAAGCATTACTACCCAGTGGCCATAGCTGGGGACTTCAACGCCTAAGCAGTAGACTGGGGCAGCAAGCATACAAACGCGCGAAGAAAGGAATTACTAGAAGCCTTTTCTACATTAGAAGTAGTACTGCTCAACAGTGGTGACACACCAACCTACACCAAAGGAGACGCAAGTTCTATTGTAGATCTCACTTTCGTCAGTGACAGCCTCACCAAAGGTAATATCAACTGGAAGGTGATGGATACCTACACAGCCAGCGACCGCAACGCGATTCTCTGGGAAATATTAAACGTCCAGAGCCCGAGAAGACCTAAAAAGCAACTTAACACCATTGGTTGGAAGGTAAAAACGCTTGATCCAAGTGCATTGTTAGTAGCTCTCAATAGTGACCAGATTATCGCAGGCTGCGCAGAAGAGAAGACCAAGGACCTGATGAAAAGAGTGACCCAGGCGTGTGACGCCAGTATGTCTCGTAGACGTAGCATGAACACAAGACCTTCTGTTCACTGGTGGAACGACCATATCAGCGCCCTTCGTAAAGAGTGTCATCAGAAGAGAAGAATATCTCAGCGTGGCTACCGACGCCCTAACTCTGCAGAGCTGGTCGCAGAGTACAAAAAAGCCCATCGATCCCTGAATAAAGCCATCAAACCTCGATAATTTTTCAACCAGACGTCAAAATTTTTTTTTTTTTTGACTATTTTGTTGAGAGCTTTAGAAAAGATCCTCGTCTGAAAAATTGGAAATTTTTCATTTATTACAACGGCACAGAAAAAAAAAGTTGTCAGTACTTTTGACCGGACCTATTCATCTTTATGTATTTTGCCGCGCTGAATCCGAATCTGAAGTCAGTTTTGCCCGTACATCCTGCAAATTTTGAGTAAAATCCAAAAAACCCAAAGAAACGCAGAAAATTGCGAAAAACTGCAGTCACAGCGATGAATAAAATTTTGTGGACCCAGATCAAGTATGATTTTTATGTATTCCAATTTACTGAATCTGAATCTGTACGTTAATTAGCCCGTTGAGCCGTCAAAATTTGAAAAAATAGCAAAAAAACCCAAAAAAATTGCGATAAATTATGAAAAATCGAAATTATCGAGATAAAAAAATTTTTTTGAATCAGATTGAGTGTAATTCTTATGTAATTTGTTTTACTAAATTCGAATCTGAAATCTTGTTCCATTAACGTTTTAAAATTATGAAAAAATCTCAAAAAACCAAAAAAAAACAGGAAAATTACAGTTACAAATATGAGAAAAATATCTATTAAACACGATTATTAATGACTTAGGTGCATTTTCATAGATGGAATATAATCTTAGAATTAAAAAATTGACAAAATTTTTAAATCTTTGAAAAAATAGCATGTAAGGAGAAGGTATGAAGCCATATTTTCGAATTTTAGACTGTCGTTCGTTTGCATCGAATTTTTTTAATAGGAAAAATAATTAGGAAAACAGTTGACGATTTGCACGCGGTTGGCAGCATTCGACGCAATTTTTTAAGGCTCACAGAGAATTTTCAAGTTTGAATCGATTGAACTAGGAATTTCGGAGTAAATCCGAAAAAACACTTTTATTGGTTTTCTTTCGTCAACGATCACTCACGAACGAATCAACATATTTCGACCGGACTGGCAGTGATCGACGTGGTTTTTGATGTTAAGAACTGATCAGTTTTTGAAATCGATCGGTGAAAATTTACAAAAGGTAAAATAACACGCTTGATTTTTTTTTTCGGCTTTGAACTTCTGATAGAGAACTGATCTTCAATGCCTGGGACAAGCTTTGATTTAATGAATTTAATGAAAAAAATTAACTTTCAGTACTTTTTATTGAAGAAGATTGTTAGTTAAATAATTAAATTTATAAACATTATGGACCAAATTATTTATTATTGACGAATAACTTAAAATTTAATCTCAAAGTTTAAATTTTGGGACTGGGACAGCCCAGGGGACAGACATTTCGGTGGTTCACGTATTTATAGCAAAAAAACAAAAATTTATCCCATTTTATTTTTCAATGCTCCAAATAGAAATGTTTTTTTACTTTCGTAATAAATTTTTTTTAGTAAAAAAATAACAATTTTTCTAATAAAAAAATGCCTGGAACAGCAAAAAAAATCCTTACAGAGAATCACTTATACATATAAGCGAAATACCACTGACTCATCACTAGATCTTCGAAACTATTGGACTGATTCATTTACAATACTCCTTTTTCAGCGTAGACGAGAGACAAAAAGGGATTTTACGCAATTCCTAGCCAAAATGGATTTTTCGTCAACCATTACGTATGCTACCCCCTCCCCTCCCTCTCATTTTTCCCACCTCTTCCATGCCCTATCTCCCGTGCCTTCTTCCCCCTTCCCTATCACTCTCTCTTTTTTATTTGGGGAAAATATCATTTTGATTCTCCAATCTAAGAAACCATTAGTGGCACTTATCGATTATAGAACTCAATCTCACCCCACCCCCCTCCCACATCCACACACGCTAATCAACCGTTGCCATGGTTACTAGGATAAGCCAAAAAAATCAAACCTATCGATTTTATAGTTTAAAATGAACCTATATATCGAATAAAAAATTTTCATGCAAAGCAGAATTTTTAGCTTAATTTTGAAAGGTGTCGGTGAGCATTCAAAGTTTCCCATTTAAATAACACGTTAAAAAACCTTTTTTCATTAAAAATAATATAACTTTTGAACCGCTTAAGATAAAAATTTTTCCACAGCGGATTTTTGAAGGGCATTAAATTTCCTACAATATCTTGCCTGGTTCCATTTTTTAAAGTCGAAAATTCATATATTTACTAGTCATGAAAATTAAACGAAAAATCAAAATAAGCAATTTAAGGCATTTATTGTTTGAAATTTTCATATTTAAGGAAATAAATTACTTTAAAATGAAATAAGTAGGGGGGGGGGGGGGGCTAGTAGGTATACAAGTATTATTTATATAAAAGCGGGCTGGTTACCGTTGACATGGTTACCGTAGCCATATTGAACTTAATTTTCAGTCAAATTAATATAATTACATTGTTGTTTAAATTCTAAAATAATATGTGATGAATTTCAAAATCTCATTACTAATATTCATATTGTTATAGAAAATGGTGGTGAGATAAGAAATAATAATCTGAATTAACAATCTTAATAACGTTATTGAAATTGGCGCTTGGACAAAAGAATAATAAGATACTTATTTATTTATGTAATTTATTAACAAATTTAGACCTGTAAAAAAAAATGTATTACAGATAAAAAGCGATATAATTACATTAAGATTGTTTATCAAGCTCTCATCATTTTGTTTATATTTTCCGTCTAGGTTACACAATAGAATTTTATTGCATACCCAGCGAAACGGGCGGGTATCAGCTAGTATATATATAAAATTGGAGGTATGTGTCCCTATATCTAATTCTCTATAAAAGTCATCTAATTCTCTAAAATAATAAAATAATAAAAAATTAGTAACCAGATACAAAATCAAAGCAAAAATAAAATAGATCAAACATTTAATTTTAATTTATCCCTTAAGGCTCATGAAAGAGTGACTCAATTAGTTATAAATATTTTTGTATATCACTAGGCATTAAGCCTATCTCTTTTTCCCTACCCTATGTACAGACAATCTTTTGTCTCTATGGGGATTATATGTAGTTATTTTTGTAAGACTATGTATGTAATTTTTGGGAAGTAAATAAATAAATAAATATTTCACATTGCAACCAAAACTACGCATCGCAGACGAATCGTGCACTATGATGGTTGCAAGTCGATAATTATAAGGTGTAAAAGATACTGGGGTTGAAACATGTTTACTTCGAAAATGTGAGACTCTCATGGATCTAAAATGGTCTGGATTGTTCTGAAAATTTCTGAAATGATCTGGAAAGTTTTAATGTGTATACCAAAGTTCGAATCGGTAGAGAATGTTCTAGAAAATTCTAGAATGATCTAAAAATTCCTAGAAAGATCTGGCAAGATTTAAAATCTACGTTTAGATTCTGATTAAATGAGAATGGTCTAGAAAATTCTAAAATGATCTGAAAAGTTCTTAAATCAACGTTTGGATACTGATTGGATAAAAATGGTCTAGAAAATTCTAGAATGATCCAGAAATGTCTAACATGATCTGGGAAGTTCATGATATAGGAAGTTGTAGAATGATGTGGGAAGTTCTAAAATCTACGTTTAGACTCTGATCGAATGAGAATGTTTCAGAAAATTCTAGAATGATCTGGGAAGTTCTAAAATGATATAGGAAGTTTTAAAATCTACGTTTAGATTCTGATCAAATGAGAATGTTCCAGAAAATTCTAAAATGATCCAGAAATTTCTAGAATGATTTGGGAAGTTCTAGACCTACTTTTAGATTTTAATTCAATGAGAATGTTTTGTAAATTTCTAGAATGGTCTGGAAAGTTCTAAAATCTAGGTTTCAATTCTGATTGAATGAGAGTGATTCAAAAAATTCTAGAATGATCTAGAGTAACTCCGAATAAAATAAGAAGCTTCAAAATGTATGTCAATATTTTTATCGGTCGAAAATATGTTGGATTGTTTTAGAAACTTTTGAAACATCATAAAAAATTTAAATATTAAAACAAATAACTGTTCTATTAAAAATAACCCAGCGAAGTGGGTGTTCACGGCTAGTATAATTATATATACTTTAGGGTGTGCCAAAATGTAACTCCCGTGGAGAAACTTTTAAAATTGGAATTTTGAGTTCCGCTTTTAACAAGGCACACCCTAATATACTTATATATTATTGTATATGGAACGATATATAATCCTGCATGGCTGTATATTGCTCTCTATATATCTCTATATATTATAACGGGATTTTGCCTGACCCGGGGATTTACCAAGCCAGGCTCAATAAATCATGCGGCGATTTACCAAGCCAGACTTAATAAATAATGAATTTAGAAAATAAATACTCAATAAAAATTACAATTAATTTCAAATTAACAACTCGCGACAATACTTCAAAATTAATTTTAGGTTGCGGAGCGCGCAAAAGCGCATCCGTTTCCGTCGACAGTCCAGCCTCGAATCGTTTTCTTCATGGAGGAGTACCCACTTCTTCCTTCATTGAAGTTGGCGGCGCTAGTCTTCATTTCCATTGGAATTGACCCCCGTCGATAGTTGATCTAGGTCCGCATAACAGTCAACGGACCTTCACGACAGTTTTTAGTCACCTCTGCTCCTGCAGTACTGACTAACCAACTGTCATCGATGTTGATCGTCGATATTGTAATATAGTAGTCTGTGACAGGGAAAATCGAACTTCCCGGGGTCATTTTCGACCCCAATAATTGACGCATGGTAGGTAAGGGCTTTCTCTTACCGTTCGATTTTTTTGACAAGAATTTCAACTTGTCACCGGGCGTGCAGATCACAGGTCCCTACTACTGCCCCCGAAAAACGAAGCGGGATGTAACTATAGGAAAGTTCGAGAGCCCGAGTTCGGGGTTATAAAAGAGCGTACACGAAAATGATGGGGGCTTTTTCCTTTTCCCTCTGGAAGCCAGTGGCCTGTTGCCTTTTGTAAATCAGTGACCTTTTTTTTAAGACCAGTTTAAATTAGACAGTGCAGTCTTGGTAATTAAGAAGCAACTACGGAGGAGTTTTACCATGTTGTTTGGAAGTGGACAAGCCCTGATCGGGGCCAGCATCGTGGGTTGAGACGACAAGACGCCAAGCAGCTGGGCCAGTTAAGTTGGACAGGAGTATCATTCGTCGTTGGTTAACAAAAGTTGAGTTACCAGGTATTTTTGAGTATTTTAGGCCAGAATTGATTAATTATTTAATTAAGAGGCTGAAATAATTAAAGTTAATTTCTCGAGCGGTCTTTGTTACATTAGCAAGTTTAGTACTTTAGAAATTTATGCGTCAAGGTCATTTAGTTTGTTTTCATTACTGGATATTTATCTTTAGAGAATGAAATTAATAGATTATTGGTGAATTTACGGTAGATAATTGAATCAGTAATTTATTATAGGTCTGTTGGCTATAATAAATTAATTTAGTTAATAATTTCAAGATATAAAGAAAAGTGAATTTGTATAGTAAAGGAAAATGTGTAATTAAGTCAGTAAAGGTCATTCTAGTATGTTCTATAGTTGAAAATTTTGTATTGAGACGTTAAGATATGAACAGTTGATGTTTAGAATTTTGTTTAGAAAAGATTTAATTTAGTAAATTTTGTAACGAGTTCAGTAGAATTTATTAATTGAAAATATTAGCAGAAAATTTAGTAAGTGAACTAGTACAGAAATTTAGTGATTATGTAATGTAGTTGAATTTATTTGCAGTAAATCAGTGTCGAAGTGAAATTTAGTAGATTATGATAGTATGGTAAGTTTTGGAAAGTTTAATTTAGGCCGGTGGATAATGTAATTGAATTGTTAATTTAGAAAAGGTGCATAATAAATTTATTAAGAAATTGTTTGAATTTAAAGATAATTTATTAGAACATTTCGATAAAGTAATTCGGTGAATTTAGTAAGTTTAGTAAATCTAAAAATTGGATTTTATTTATGGATAATTGTTAAGAGGTTATTTAAGAAGATTTAAGAAATGAGTTTAGACAATAAGAAATTTATGAGTAATTAAATTTAGTGAACCTGAATATGTGAAGAGTTTTGTTGAAGAATTGTGAATTATGTTAGGATTAAAATTTGGAATTTTAGTTCAGTAGTGATTTAGATAAATGAATAAGAATTAAGAATGAATATGAATTTGGAAGCTTTTTATGAAATTTGGGAAATTTTATATTGTCAGTTATTCCGTCAAATAACGAGGGTTTTAAGTAATTAAGGAATAGAAGATAGACGCGTAATGGTCTATATTTGAAATAAAATTTAAGAATCTAGATGCGTAATGGTCTATGATTGAATTAGGAATTTAAAGATAGATGCGTAATGGTCTATAATTGAGTTAAGAAATTAATAAGATAGATGCGTAATGATCTATGTTTAAAAGAATTTAATGATATTTAGTTTATAAGGATTTTTGGCAAGTGCCTGTTGAGAAAGCGTTTCTCGGAAATTTTGTATTAAGATTTTAACTGTAAAACTTTCTTGTTATTTTGTTAATTCTTAAGGTTTATTTTTTATTGTTTAATAAATTCGATTAACTAGATAAAATTGTCCTCAGTATTTATTTTCAGCCTATCTCAACTTCTCACGACCCGACTTTCCTGCTCGTGCTCTTCCGGTTCCTGGGACACCGCGAAAATAATCCCAGTGGCGCCCTTTTCATAAGGAAAGGGGTGACCAATTGAACAGGGTTAACCACCCCGTTACAAGTCGTATTGGAAAATAGCGGCACTGCAGCGTCGATCGGTATCCAGGCCTCTCGGGTGTTTACACCGCTCGGTGCCTCGTCACTTCGGTACTCGCTTCGGTACTAGCTTGTTTACGTCGTAGCTCCATCCTTGTCGCTCCAATGCATAGCCTCGTACCCGCTGTGACTCGCTCTGTCTTCGTTACTCGTCCAGCGTTACGCATTTTACACAAAATAAATTCATAAAAATTAGTACAATTTTCATTCATTCACACATAACATTCACGACGTTGGATTCGAGCCTGGAATATTATAATACCCCAAGTATTGAGCGTCGAATAAAAATCTACCACGTTACAATATATAGGAGACTTTCTATAGATATAGTCACTCATCACGATATCTCTGGAACTATAAGACCCGGAGACTTGAAATTTGGTAGGAATATTCATTTCACCTAGTAGAGTTCAGCTAAGAACGGATTTTACGAAATTCCACCCAAAAGGGTGGTTGCGGGGGCGTTAACAATGAAAAATTCCCGTTTTTAAACTACAGCTCCTATCGACTCCAAATTTGGTAGGAATCTTCTGTAAGAGATGTAGAAAAAATCTATAAACAAATATTACGATATCTCACTCCAGAGAGGGTTTCGGGGGTGGGTACTAACAATAAAAATTTTTAATTTCCAAGCTGTAGCTCCTATAAACTCCAAATTTAGTAGATGTCTTCTATATGTGATATAGAAATGATCTAAGAATGTATTTTACAACGAATCAACTCCAATAATGATCTTGGGAGTGGGTGTTAACAATGAAAAATGTTAATTTCCAAAATATAGCTTCTAAAAACTCTAAATTTGGTAGGAATCTTTTATTTCTCATATAGAGATCATCTCAAAATGGATTTTAACAAATTCTACTCCTGATAAGGAGTGCGGGGCTGGGTTTTAAAATCTACAATTCTAATTTACCAATTATAACTTCTACAGACTCCAAATTTGGTGGGAATCTTTGTGTATGATGTCAAGCTACAAATTATTATTATTATAATATTATGTGATATTATATAATATTATTTGATATTATATAATATTATATGATATTATACAGGGTGTCCCAGAAGTCGCGCACCCCATTGTAGGGATCGAAAGAGAAAAATATTCTGAGACGAAAAGTCCTGAGCCATTTTTTTATCAGACGCATAGGTAATTAATTATTAATTAATGAAAGTGACCAATCAGGAGCGCGCGACAGAAGAATAAGAAGTGAGTGAGAAAGCGGTAAGAGACGCGAGAGTGAGATGCCAGAGCTACGGCCGGATTCTCGAGCAGTAGACAGAGAGTGGAGACGGACCGGCCGTGGACGGTGGACGTACGTGATGCTAGGTAGATGTGTAAGATCGTGTACTAGTGTGAGTGTATCGGCTACAATGCACGTATGAATGTGGATGAGGATATTTCTTTAATTACAGGCACAAGATTTGATGAATTTGACGGGAAAAACAGGAGAATTTAATATATTAAATCGGCCATGACATAATTTTGATTTTAAATAGCAATAATTGTAGTAATTTTAAATTAAAAGCTCAGTAGCGGGGCTCAGGCGAAGGCACAGGAAAAAAGTTACTGAATTTAATTATTCATGAGAAATAATTAGAGTAATTTTTGATTAAAATATCAGTAGCAAGGCACTCGGCGGCGGTAACTGGATTTTTTCTTTTTTATTTGAAATAATTGAGGCAATTTTAAATTAAAAAATCAGTAGTAACGGTCAATTAAAGGCTTTAGGTAGCCATGAATAAATTGTTTTTTTTTTTTAACCAAATAATTAAAGAAATTTCTAATTAAAAAATCAGTAGCAAGAGTCAGTGAGGGGTACTAGATAGACACGAATGATTTTATTTTTTTATTTAGAAAAATCAAAGTACTTTTTTATGAAAAAAGCGCCATTCGGCCATACCCGACACGGATAGGTAGATTTCTCGTTTGAATATTAAAAAAAACACGTTATTAAAAGGCAATAATGTCCTAAAATGTATTTTTTATCATAATTTTGCAAATAACGATATGAGACCGACTACAATAAATAGATATTTAAAAACATCTACCTAAAAAAATAGAATTTGTAACAGATGAAAGTTATTTGATAATAATAGCTGAAAATTCATTTATTCTAGATTTTTTTTAATTTTCCCAACTACGAAATAAATTGAAAAATGGATCAAAAGGCGACGAATAATAGCTCAAATTAAAGATAATTATGTAAATTTTAACATAAATTTAATAAATTTAAGCTATCTTTTACGACCTAAAAATTATTTGAAAAGAAGGGCCGAAATACGTTCATTGAAACATTTTTGAAAATTTTCAAAGTCACGAAATTAATTAAAAAATCATTAAAACTAGACAAATGATAGTTTATATTGAAGGTAATAAAATGAAGTTTGGGATAAATCTGATAGATTTTATCTATCTTCTGAATCTGGAAAATTATTTCCATAAAATCTACGAAATTCAAAAGTTTTTGAAAATGAAAAAAATTTTTAAACACCCACAACTCGTAAACTAACCGGCCGATTTTGCTCATCTTCGAACTTGATCTTGGTATTGATCCACAGAATAAGCTCACAAAATTTCATGACGATCGGTTGAGAACTGTGGGCGCAATCCTGCGGACATGACGCGTTATATCTCATATATATATATATAGGGTGTTTCAAAAAAATCAACTTTTGTTATTTCTTTAAATGGTCAGCAAATTCTCTCGGAGAATCGCAAAATAAGGACCTTGTCAGAGTATGAGTTCTTAATTTGAAGATTTACAGGTCGCGGATCGTAATTTTCTATTTCCATTTAAATAACATAGGAAAAAGAGGCATTAACTTTGGAATTTTGTATCTCCAGATTGAATCAATTTATGGCAATGATCATCTCGGATTCTTATACAAAATTGTACGCTTTACAAAAAAGGTCTCTTGTCATTTTTCCATATATTGATTCCTACCCGAGTTATTCGAAGTCAAAATTTAATTTTCATCGAATTTTCGGGTTTTTTTTAAACCTTTATCGTACAATTATAAAGGCACACAAAAAAGAAAAGTTGTCTGTACATTGGACCAGACTCACCAACAGATATGTTTATCGACCCGCTAAATCCGAATTTGAAGTCCGTTTGGCCCGGTCACTTTCCAGTTTTGAGTAAAATGAAAAAAACCCAAAATAAGGCAAAAAACTGCGAAAAACTGCAGTCACAGCGATGAAAAAATTTTTGTGGACCCGGATTAAGTTTGATTTTTATGTATTTCAATTAACTGAGTCTGAATCTGAACTTTAACTAGCTCGCTGAGCCGTCAAAATTTGAAAAAATAGCGAAAAACCCAAAATAATTGCAATAAATGATGAAAAATCTAAATTATCGAGATGAAAAAAATTTTTTGGATTCAGATTGAGTATGACTTCTATTTATTTTGTTCCACTGAATTGAAATCTGAAATCTTGTCCCATTAACGTTTTACAATTAAAAAAATCTCAAAAAACCAAAAAAATTGGGAAAATTGCTGTTATAAATATGAGGAAAAAATCTATTAAACACGATTGTTAATGACTTGGGTCCATTTTCATGGATGGGATATGATCTTAGAATTAAAAAATTGACAAAATTTTGAAATCTATAAGAAATAGCATGTAAGGAGAAGGTATACGAAACCATGTGAAGAAAGAATGGCGAACAAGAGTGAAATTCAATCTAGGTACTCGTAATGTCATACGAGCACCATTGATTCCGCCTTCAAAATTTCTGCTACCACCACTTCACATCAAACTAGGTCTCATAAAACAACTTGCCAAAGCTTTGGACAAACATGGTAATTGTTTTCAGTATTTGAATGAAAAGTTTCCTGCGACAAGTGATGCAAAATTATAAGACAGAATTTTTGATGGACCCTAAATTCGCAACTACAGGACGTTAGTAGAACAATTGGTGACAAATTACAAAAATTTAGGTTGCTTAATAAACCTCAAACTACACTCCATGGATTCTCACGTCGACCAATTTTCTGAAAATCTTGGAAACTATAGCGAAGAACAAGGAAAACGATTCCATAAAGACATAAGTGAAATGAAGGGCAATTTTTTTTTGGGTTTTTTTCTATTTTTTCAAATTTTGACGGCTCAACGGGCTAATTAACGTTCAGATTCAGACTCAGTTAATTGAAATAATACATAAAAATCAAACTTAATCCGGGTCCACAAACATTTTTTTATCGCTGTGACTACTGTTTTTCGCAATTTTTTGCCTTATTTTAGGTTTTTTTTCATTTTACTCAAAACTGGAGGGTGACCTGGCCAAACGGACTTCAAATTCGGATTCAGCGGGTCGATAAATATGTCGGTTGGTGGGTCTGGTCCAATGTACAGACTTTTCTTTTTTGTGTGCCTTATTTATAATTGTACGATAAAAGTTAAAAAAAAAAACCCAAAAATTCGATGAAAATTAAATTTTGACTTCGAATAACTCGGGTAGGAATCAATATATGGAAAAATGACAAGAGACCTTTTTTGTAAAGCGTACAATTTTGTATAAGAATCCGAGATGATCATTGCAATAAATTGATTCAATCTGGAGATACAAAATTCCAAAGTTAATGCGTTTTTTTCCTATGTTATTTAAATGAAAATAGAAAATTACGATCCGCGACCTGTAAATCTTCAAATTAAGTACTCATGCTTTGACGAGGTCCTTATTTTGGGATTCTCTGAGAGAATTTGCTGACCATTTGAAGAAATAACAAAAGTTGATTTTTTTGAAACACCCTAATAAATACATATATAAACTTTTGAGCCAATGCCATTTTTCGACATTACTCGATAAAATGAAACATATTATGACAAAATTTTATAAAAATTACGATATGAGACCGGCTACAATAGATAGATTTCTAAAGAAATCTACCTAAAAATCAGAAGTAAAGGTTGATTAGAGGTACTGGGTGGTCATTAATAAATGTTTAATTTTTATTTGGAATAATTGAATTGATTTTCGATTAAAAAATTAGTGGTCGGGGTCAGTCAGAGGCACTAAGTGGCTATGACTGAGTTTTAAATTTTATTTGGAATAATTAAGGCGATTTTAATTTGAAAAAAATAGGTACAAAGGGTCAGTAAGAGGTACTGGGTAGACATGAATGACTTTTTTTTTTATTTAGAAAAATTAAAGTACTTTTAAAT